AAACCTTTAGGGTAACTGGGAACACCATTGAAGCTACCTTGCATTGGCCCAGCTTCTGCTAGTGTACCAGTTGAAAGTCTGATGGAGCACTGCAGTGTGCTTTTTTTTCTTATGAGGAAAACAATGGAAGAGAAAGGCATCATCCAGCATCTGAAGGTTTTAATCAGTTTTCTGTTTCTCCTTTACAGTTACTGCCCAGCTGCTTTGCACATCCCTTTCAGATGCAATAGGGCCCCAAAATCCAACTGCTGAGATGGAAAAATGTTTAATAATATGTTATGAAAAAGACATGATGAAAAATTCCAATAGAGATGGAAGATTTTAGTGTCAGATTGTGCACAGGGGTTCCAATGCATATCTTCCATTTAAGCTATTAAAAATGTTTGCATTTCAAGGAAGAATTTAGATTTTTGACACAATTGTCTTTTTCTCTTTGGGAGCAAAACATTTTCTGTGGTAACAGAAAATATTTTAACAAGAATAAATATAATGCATTTAGGCATTAAAATGAATAACAGTCTTTGATCTATTTGCTGAAGATTACAGGCATAAAATGTGAAGTCTGCTAGTGGCTTGAAGAAAGGTATTTGCTGTCATCAGTACTGCAGCTTTGCTTACATTATAAAATAAGAAGGACACGACTAGAGAGGTGTCCAGATCCTCACACCATATGGAGAGGTTGCTATGCCTCTCACGATCATAACTCTGGCCAGTGGTTTGCTGTATTTCATTGCCTTCTGAATCCTAAATACTCAGGGCAATATCTTTGCCACACATGAGCTGGTGCCTTTCATTCCAGAGGGTTCAAAACCTAGGTGATGAGTGTGTAATTGCTATATGTATAAGAGAAATGTTAAGCATATTTCCTGTATTTCCAAGGTGCTGTATGAATGAAAATGGCATTGCATGAATGGAATGCTGCTTTTTTTTTTTCCCCAAAACACCCAATCCTTCAATTTTTTTATTGTTTCAAATTGGAGCAATAGAAGTATGTATAGAGAGAAACTTTGTCCTCTGGAAATGAAAGAACTTTCATTATTCTTCTCCTCCTCAAATGCTTGGGGCAGTTCTAACTATGTTTCCATTCCTTTGGGAATGAAAGTGAGTGCCTGTCTCCATCTTATGCAATTTTCATGGGGAATGAGGAGAGCCTGAGCTCAGCCTAGGAGGTTTTGAGCTCTTTGTTGCCTCCTGTGCTTCTGGGATCTGCACCGTATCAGCTGGGAGTGTAGATTACAGTGGTGACGGCACCACAGCTTTACATTAGCATGCCTAGCAGCCCTCGAGTCCCTAGGTCAAGCTACCCAGCATCATCTGTAGGAATTTGTGTGGGCAAACTCCACCAGAAACCTAATTTGCTTCAGAGGGTGTTTGTCAAAACTGAGTCATCTCCATAAAATGCTCTTTCATCAAAATTGACTTTCAATGTTTTTTGTTTGTTTTGTTTTTTTTTTTTGTCCATCTCATCAGACAATTCTCAGCCAGTCATGAGCAAAGACTTTTTCCCCTTCTTATTCCTTTATATATGAGGCAGAGGTAACGTCTGGTGTTTATTTCCTTGGGATGCTATGTGTGTCTTCAGATTTGGTCTCCTTATTTAGGAAAAACTAATCTGTTACATTTTTAGCTGTTGAGTGGACTGCAACAGCAAAGCCACAGCTAGCTAGGGTGTGGTTTTCAATGATTTAAATACTTATAGAATGCCAACAGAGGGCGAAACAAGGGGAGGGGGGAAGTAAAGGAGAGGATTTGTTTGTTTCAATGTGTGGAACTGCACGGTGCTACACTTTTCCCTCCAGAATTACAGTGTACCAGGAAAATCACATTTTCTGCGCTGTTAGAACCCACACAGCTGCTGTACCAAGTTGTGTTTGCCTGTGGTGCTTACCTAGTGCTTCATGACAATTTTCTGGTCTTTATTTCCTTTGGTTGCCCTTAGCATTGCTGAAGTTCAGCTAGTCCAAGAAACAGTGTAGCCCGATGGATTTAAGAAGCTATAATACACAGCAAAGATGAATGAACTTTAATATACAGCCAGTTGATTCTTCCCTCATTAAAGAAACAGATTGTGGCAGAAAGCTGGGGTTTCTCTTCTGTAAAGATCTTGCACCAGTCCTACCTTAGCCTGTTCCCCTCCTCTCCTTTTGTCAGTGTGATGCATTTGCATTAGCAAGCTGTGCTTTTCATTCCAGAGTGATGAAAGGGGACAACAATAAATTACAATACCTTTTAAGAAATCTCCAAATCTTATCAGATCTCACATTTCATCCTGGCTGCTCTTTCATGCCATTCTTTTACTATAATTGCCACTGAAAAATTACAGTTTGCTGCTGTTCCTGGGCACCTAGTGCTTGAAGCTACTGTTGTGAAATAGTATGGAGGCAGAAAGCGAAGACCCTCTCTCTTCCTTTTTTTGTAAATTCCTATTCCGTGTGAAATCCCCAAATTCACAACTTCTCATGCTTCTGAAAAGAGTGACCCTCCATGTATGCTGAGGTATTGTTATGCTGCTAAAAATATGCTGCTGCTTCTTAGGGTAGAAGGAAAGGATTGGGATAGAGGGAAAGAGTTGAGAAAGGTGATGGTTTTACCCCAATTGCCTCATGGTGCTCAAATGCTGGGAATAGAAAGCAATATAACAAATATGAAATGCTGAAAATGCTGCCACTTACCACTCTTTTATATAAATTCCATATTACAGGCCAAGCTCACTGTTGACATAAGCAGATGCAAATCTAATGAAGTCACTGCAGTCACTTCTACTTGTGCCAGAGGTGAATTTGTCCCTATTTTTGGAACATGCTGGTTTTGTGCTACAGCATTGGCACACTGTATCAAATCAAAATCCTTTTGAGCAATGGCTCTATGCCATTAGCTAACTGACATGATGCATCATGTAAAAATTCTGCCTGATAGTGGTCCCGTTCTGCTCTTTGATGTGATGTATCATGCCACTGTATTGCCTCAGAAGGCATCTGATAGGAATGGTGGCAGGATCTGATAGTAAAGAATGTGTGCTGAGTATCAGAGCACCGGCATCCTGTGGAAATTGTGGTATCTGTGTTTGCGCATCTATAAATCTCTTGCAAAAGTGTCTCATGTACTGCACTGTACAATGATCACTAATGTACTCCCACCTCAATGTATTGCATTAGCATAGTAGATGATAAATAATTTTCTATTTTAGTCTTGTTCTGCCTTAAAGACTAATAGTGATTTTTTTCCTAAAAACAAGTAGTTGGTATTGAAAGAAGTTGTGATTTTACAGGCTTGTTACTGTTATTAAATGTAGGAGGGTGTTGGATTGTTTATTACATATATATATGTAATAAACATATATATATGTTTATGTATATATTTATAAATATATAAATATATTTTTATATATATATATATAAACTAGCCTCATTGCCATTGCATCTGAAAGCATTTCACCTCAGACAGAATGGTGCTAAACAACATCTTCCCTAAAACAGGAAACATGTTTCACAATCCTCTGCAGCAGGCAGCACAGATTCCCTGAGAGGATCTGCAAGGGTGGAGAGCAGTCACTTGTCCAAACCCAGCAAGGAGGCCAGGTGCCAGAAGACAGGGCAGCCAGAGGAATGCCTGGATGCAGTCTGGCCATATGCTCATGGTAAAAACCTCCAGGTCAGGATCAGGCATGTGTCCAGGAACAGAGGACTTCAGGAGGTGGTACTTGCTATTGCCAACCGATGGCTGCCAGCTCCTTGCTGTTCGGATAACATTCTGCCCTTAGGCTTGTTGTTGCAGTAAAAAACAAGGGGAAAAAGATTCCCGAAATTAATAGAGCCCAGATTGACCAGAGATCTGTAGACAGCAATCGACGCTTGGATTTTCCGTTTCCCTGAAGAAACCATTCAGAAGCCTGTGCATTTAGTATAGCCAAGCATATGCTGCATGTGTATTGTACCCTTGTGGAAACTTCTGAGTGGCTGCAAATGTTAACACTTACGATAGAATCCATTTAGGTAGATATACAGAATGCAACAGGAAAAGAAAATGACCAGAGTGCTATTAAAAGGGTACCTAGCTACCTTAAAGTCTCCATGCTCAAAATCTGAGAAAAAAAGAAAGAAAGGAAAAAAAAGAGAAAAAAGCTAACCATGCCTTCAGGAAATTGAATCTTGTTTTAAAGTATTGTAGTTGAATGCTTTGGAGAAATGCTTTCTATAAACAGGGAATCCTACCAGGGTCAGACTGAGCTATTTTAACCTTGTGTATTCATCTAACTGTTCTGGCCAGGGAGACGTGTGTGTTTGTGTATGTATAAACAGAGAGAGTATGAACTCAGAATTTTTGAATGAAGGCTTTGATTTTTGGCCACTACTCAGTGTAGGTAAACTTCAAAACAAATTTTATGAAAAAGAAACTTGTAAATTATTCATTTTAGGACAAATGAAAATAAGAGAAAACAAGCAAACAAGTCATTCCCAGGCGCATAAGCTGGGATAATGCTAACAAGCCACACACGTAGTCTCTTCCATGTGAGGAATGGTAGAAAGAGCCTGCATTAGGGCAGCTTACTGGCAAAAATGTGCCATGAGTATATTTGAGTAGGACTGGAGCCATTACCACCAGTTCCTGGTTTTCCACATATTTTTCAAGTAGAGCAATACACTTGATTTATTGATTTATTTATTTCTTTTTACACATTGTGGACCAAATGTCGGGAGGGAAGAGTGACTTCCCGGTCTCGTTGAAACTGCATCCGACCTGCCACCTCCTGCAGGACAAGTGCCTTCCTCTGTCCTCCCAGATGAATCTCCAGGCTGGATCCCTGGATGGATGGGGAAGCTCGGCTGTTGCAGGTGACACTTGGCTGCGGAGGGCCCTCGCTGCTAAATCTGGCAAAGCCTCTCACGGCCCAAACCCCGGCTCTGGCTCACAGGCGACGGGACAGGCAGGTGCGGCGCGCCCGTGCAGCCGCTGCGGGGAAGGGGGCGGGCGGGGCGCGGTCGCGGCCCCGTCCCCGCCCCTGCGGCCCCGCCGCCGCTGCCGCCGTCGGGGTGCTCCGCGCTGCCTCCGCCACCGCCGCCCCGCTATAAGTGCGGGCGAGGGGCGCGGCGGCGGCCGAAGATGCGCTGGCAGCCGGGGCTGCGCGGCGCCCCGCCGCGGCCGCCCTGCGCGGAGGAGAGGAGGAAGAAGAAGAAGGAGGAAGAAGAGGAAGGGGGAGGCGGCGGTGGCGGCGCAGGGCGGCCGCGGCCATGAGCTGCTCGGACGTGGCCATGCAGCAGGCCGCCTCGGCGGCGTGCGGGGCCACCCGCTGTCTGGCCGCGCCCGCGGCGGGCTGCCCGCAGGTGAGCGACGGGGTGCGCGGGGCACCGTGCGAGTCGTGCCGGTGAGGCGGGCTGGGAATGAGGCTTTTTGGGGAGGCCCCCATCACCCCCCTTACCGGGGTGCAAAGCGCATCGCTGGCTGGCCGGGGCGGAGACCTCCGGCCATCCAGCGATGCGCTATGCAGCCCCCGGCCTGATTTGGAGATGCGGGGAGCTGGTGAGGGTGCCCCAGAGCAGCGGTGCTTGGTAAGACCTTGCTTTAAAAAGAAAACTACTTTTACCCCGGATTCTTACAGTTGGGCGATGGGTGTTGGCTTGTGCAGCTGGAGGGGGAAAGGGGAGAAAGTTGTTTCTTGCCTTCTCCCCCTCCCTTCCTCTCCGCCGTCCCCCCTTACTTGCTGAGCCTCCCCGCTCACCAGCTTTGCCGGCGCAGCGCTGCGCCTTTGCTGCCCGCCGGTGCGTTGCGGACACGGACTCGGGCGGAACGTCCGCCGGCGGGAGGGAGCCGCGCTGCTCCTCACGGACGGGGCGCGCCGCGCCGCTCGTCCCGGCTCTCCTGGAGGATCGTCTCCGGCTGGGTTCCAGCTGAGTTTGGTGATCACATGTATTTTTCAGGGTTTTTTTTTTAAGTGAATCAGGAAATTCTTATCAGGCTGACAGCATTTTTAGACTATGCAGTGCGTGGGTGAAGTGGGACTAATATTGACTTGGCCCTAATGTAGTCATCTGAGAATACATTTTTTGGTTGTTGCTGCATTCCATAAGGTTTTATCATTATTATCCATGAAGATTGTTTTCTCCGTACATGGGAAGTGACCCCTAATATCAGCTTGCTTGGGAGACACGAATATGGGCTAGAACATTAAAATTCCTACTGCGTGTTGTTGGCTTTTCTCTTTATTGATGGGAGAGAGAGCATGTTTGCAGAAATGATACCCCACATTGCTCATGTTGTTCTCTGTAAAGTCTCGCTCTGGAAACTTGTGAGTTTTGTCTGTTGCAGGCGCCTTTGCTATTATTTCTTCTTCAATCTAGGTCACAGCTTACATCTATTCAGTAATTTTAGTTATTAGCTTTGTATGTGAGTATTTGGAGCTCCAGTTGTTAGACCATGTGATAAACTGCCGAGTAAGAGACCTAGAAGCAGAAAACAGCAATCAAAACCTTTTTGGTACTTAACTCTGTATGCGATGGGCTGTATTTCTCTTCCAGATCTGGAGTGTCGAACACATAGTACAGGAAAATCTATTAAACGATCTTTAGCAGCTGTGTCATGCTCAAATGCAATTGCTTTTTATTTTTAAACAGAATCATGAAGTTTCTCCACCAGCTGAAAGCAGCACCATACAAGAAGTGTCCCAGAGGCATCTTAATGAACGCCAGAGTTTTAAATAAACTGAGTTCTTGTGGATTATGCTGCCTAAGAAAAGTGGAGGTAGATACGCAAAGCAAGAGCCGTAGATAGCTCTGTTGAGCTAGTGCAGCTCAGGAATCGTGGCCAGCACTGTATATCCCGTTACCACCAAAAAACATTCTAAACCTTGCTGTCCTACATGTTAATAAGAATTTGCTGTAGTGAATCCTGCTTGCGCCGGCTTTCCTGAAGTATTTAGAGATGGAGGGTCTTCACAAACTGGTTGAACGACAGGCGGGAAAACCGAGCTGTCAGTGCTGAGCTAAAAATGTTGCACCCTCTAATTCTAACAGCTGCAAATTTTAGAGCAGTTTATGTATTTTTCTTTGAATCCAATGTTTTTTAAATAATAAAAAAGTAACCATAGAATGAACTTCTTATGCATCTATAGCTGTAGTGGAAAGATTTATTGTTTGAGTAACATATGACATTTTGCAAGTTTCTGTTTCTTCAGAATTGTCCTGTCAGGGACATTTAATCAACTGGTAAAGAGCAGAAGAAAGAAGGATGAAGAATCTGTTGCCAGGTTTTTGTTTCTTCTCACACATGTGTTCAACATGTAAAACACTCCTGCGCTCTTCATGAGGATAATGACCATTTGAAAGAATGTTCTTTGCCGTAATTAAAGCTGTGTTTTAAAAATAAGGGTGAGGAAAGAAGAATTAGTGGGATATCTTAAAAATAAGGCTCTGCGCTGGAGCTGATAAAGTGGAGCTCACCCTTAAAATATCCGAGGACTCCATAGAAGCATTTTCCGATGTTGTACTAGTCTGGTGTCTCTCGGTACTATTTCCTTTTTCTGAAAGGAGAAGCTCCTCTGTGCTGTGCTCCTGTTGGCTTTCCTTGCCTTCTCAGTGCGAGGAGATGTAGGTGTGTTATTCTAAATAAAGCTTGTGTGCCTCCAGTGGTATTTGTAATAAATCAGTCACAAACATCTAATTGGTTATGCCAGCTTTCGGTATCAGTTTTGCATCCTTTAAAGAGCAACGCAAGTTCCTTAGCTGCTGATCTGTCGGTGCAGATGTGTAGGCTCAACTTCTGGGCCACGGTGTCTCTTTGGAGAGCTAAGTTCATCATGTTTCTATAGGTCGTGTGCTGCATACATAGGTCAGGAGAAGTGTCTCTATCAGGCGTGTGGTTTGCGTCGCTGCTCTGCAGTGAAGGGGGTTTGAGTGGTCATTTCTTTTTTTCTTAATTAGTAGATCTTGACTTGCTTTTAAATGATGCACCCAGGTTGTGCAGAAGTGACAAAGGTTTTTTTAGGGGGTGGTCCTCTGTGCCTTTTTAAAGTTACCCTGCTCTGAAGTTATTCCCATACTTCTGTCTTTAGTTCCTACTCCCTTAAAATGAGCACAGAACTGATTTTTGCCTTGCACAGAAATGCAGGGGTTTTTGGAAACTTAGCTTTCACCAGTCCTTAGCCAAGAAAGGACTTGCTGGCAAGTTAATTTAGGTGGGATTTTTTTTTAAAAGCACTTAATGGATTGAAGCCTGAATTCCTATTGAATGTTAGTAGGAGTGGAGGCTTAGCGCCTTAGATCTTTGAGATTGCCGAAGTCCAGGGTGTTTGCTGGAGGGAAGCAAGTGGATTATGGCTATATGCATGCTCATGCGATGCCAGAAGGAGCTGACTAGAATAGGAGCAGCCCTCCTTCTACAGAGGAATTGGAGGTTCCCTCTAACTTTGCAGAAAGACAGAGTGAGTGTGTTGCTGGTGTTATAATATGAATGTGTTCCTGTGCATGATAAGGAGCCTGCGTGAGGGTAAAGCTGTGTGGAATGGTGGATTTAAAATGCTCTTCATCGTGCTCTTTCCTGAGGGGCTGTGCATCTATAGTAGTAGTAAGTTTTGGCTTTCCTATGGGTTGGGTGAGGAATGGGTGAAACAGAGCTGCTCATTCGAAGAGACTCTGGAAACATGTAATTGGTGAAGAATCCTATTGTATTCTTGGCACTCACAAAATACCGTGATGGCTTGCCATGCCTTGTCAATCTAGGCATAGAAAGCTTCAGAGCTGAGGCTAAGGTAGGATTCACCCTGGCTCATTAACAGCTGAGCTGAAGACCTTTGAAATGGGAAGTTACAGTAAATGGTAGTTTTGGAATTTCTCCATGGTATGTGGATGCAGAGAGCTAAGCCAACACCGTCCCTGCTAAATCAAGTCTTGCATTAAAGAGTTGTGATATGCTCAAGTCAAACTTTCTGCTGGCAGTCCTGTAGACAGGCCTTTTCCAGATAAGGGCTTGTCTACATTAGCAAATTAGGTCACTAACTCAACTCTTCCTTAAAAACTAACAACGTTTCAGACAAGGACAAGTTGCTTTAACGTGTCAGCTGGCTGTAGCTAAACCGTGACTCATGTATTGCAACTTAATTTTTCATTAAAGTATCTTTGTATAACAGGCTCTCATCTTTTGGTAATGGGGTTATTATACTGCTTATACCTTTGGCAGCCTGCAGTACCTATCACAGCAGATAACAGCAAAAGATGGCTTCACATTCAGTTATTGTAGTTCTGGTGCTTTCTCAAGGCTTGTTTTGAAGCCTGGTGGTGTTCCTGCTACTGACTTCCCTGAAAGCTGAATCAGACCTGTATAACTCATCTTTAAAGGCTACTCTCAGGATTACAGGATGTAGAATCTGGATTAAGTTTTGCCCCGTGAAGGGGATTTTGTTGTTTGTTTTGTCTAATCCCACAAGACTTTGCTAATTTTTAAAAAAAATGGCTTATTTTACTTTGTCCGTCTGGTTGGGACCAAATTCTATTTGATCTTCCTCTATCTACATAAAAACAGAACTTTAGACTTGAACGGTTATACTTCTGGATAGATGTACAGCAAAAGGTGTATGAATTCATTCTTTTCCCACCATTTCCCCCCATCAGCAGAGCATAACAGGAGCTAAGAACTCTACTCCTGCAAATCCAGTGGCTCACCTGAAAGCAGCCATGTGGCTTTGCTCTTGGCTTGCTCATCTGTGAGGGTCAAAGTAAGAATTCCATGTTTTCAGGGCATGCCATAAATACCGCTTCCAAGTGCAGCATTCGATGCCCTGATTGCTTGAAATTGTCTTCTTCCTTGAATACTTTCTGTGTTATCAATAGGAGCTTGCTTGGAAGACAGCTCCACAAATGGAGGACTGTCCGTGATTTGCCTCGGGTTTGTTCCTGAAATTCCTTCTCAGAAGCTTATGTCAAATGACAGCCTTTTTCTCAGGATAGGAGGTCATATAGTGTTTCCTCAGTGCAGTTATTCTTTATTTTTGGTTCCTGTTCTTTCTCTCTTAAGGGAAAATCTGTAACAGGTGGCCACAGGCACACCAGACTTTCATGCTCGGGAGTGTAAAGGACCACATGCTGTATGATGGCTTGTATTGAGATAATAAGTTGTAGGAATAGGCAACTAGCTTATATGAAAAATAAGAACTGGCTTGAATTTTTTATGCAAACTTGGCTTAACTCAAACTCTCTCTGTTCTCAGCTGTTTGGCTGTTTTGCTGCCTACTAGCTGGTTTCAGCTGGAAGTGAGGGGTTTTTTCAGTTTGTGAAGAGGAATGTTCTAACATTTTTACCAGACACCCTGGGTGAGATCCGGGACCCTTGAAGTCAGTTGGACTTCTGCCATTGGCTTTAATGTGGCCAGAATTTCACTGCATGGGAACCATTTTGCTTGGTTCTGGGTAGGGTATGTAAAAAAATAACAGGATTCTTCAAGATGGGAATTTTGTGTAAGATTATGGATCACATGCCTTTTTAGTCAAAAAGTGGTGAGTTTTCCTTCAGAAAAGAGGATGGTACTTATCCAGCATAAACTTTCTCTTTAATATTCCCATATTAGCAGTGATTTTCTGTTAACCTTTAGTCTCCTTTTGTTAGACAACTTGCAATTTAGAGTTTAAACTCTCTTTGGTAAAGCCTGATTGTGAATATATGAAATAACTAAAATAATGTTGATTTAAGTTAAATTCAGCCCATGCTGTACATCACTGTTTACTCAGAGGTTATACCACTCATCCTTCAGCCATGAACTGAGGTCTATTATCTAAGCTGGCATCAGGTGCTATAGATCCTGAATTTCCCTATTTCCCAGTATGTAGTATGTACAGTAATTCTGTATTCTGGGTCTTGGCCAAGATGAGAGCTTGTGTATTTGTTTTGTTTTATTCTTCAGAGGCTGCTTATAATGTCAGTCTCCAGTTTGTAAGGAAGAGAGAGGTGGATTTCATGAATATATTAAAGCATTGGTGATCTGAACATAGGCAAGAAATAACATTGTGTTTAGACAGAAAATACTCTTTGTAAATATCTTACAAATACTTTTGGCTGCTTAAATGTGTGCCAGAATTGTTTGTATGAGAGCAGTACAAGTGAAACTGGGCTAGTCTAGATTAGTTACCAGAAACCTGACCTGTTTTTTTGTGTTTGCTTTTGTCCACCCTACTCCCAATGGTGGGACAAATTCATTCGGCTTGATGATCTTGCATGCTTTTCCACTCACACAAGTGTAGTCAGAAATGCTATCAGAAGATTACTGTTAAGGTCAGAACAAGCAATATGGAATTTGTTTGCAGACAGGGTATTTCAAAGGAGTTAGGGGGAGAAAAGACATTATCATTAAAAGACGCATACAATGGAAAGGATGTATATATGTTGCATAGAAAGAAAACTTGTTGAGTTACTTTATCTCACTGTAGACTTTTATTTAAAGAGTTCTGTAATTACAGGCTGATAGTTTCTTCTTGAAATACAAATTAATTAGATTTTGCCCATCAGTACAACCATCTTTTATTTACATTTAAAAAATAGAGGTCAGATTTGGTGTTTTCAAATGCAGTGAGTGCTCAGAGTATCTCGTAATGACTTCCCATGGACTGGGGAAAAGAGAGTTGAAGTGGAAAATGAATTAGATTCTTAGGCCATGGAAGGGGGAACATTCCTGCACAGAGAAGCGACTCTGGAGATAAGTTTTAATTTCCTGAGCTCCAGTCTCCATATAGGAACATTGAAAGACTTCCTTCCTGATAACCAAGTCAAGCCAGAGGCTATATTAAATGACGTGTTTCTGTATATAATTGCGTGCTTGTATATGTATTTGCATACTTGCACTATAAATGCAAATAGTGTACCTATAATGATAGAAGTCAGCTTTTAAGTGTGTTGCATGGATTTAAGGTCTGGCATATACAGTGCACCTAAGATGTAATAAGTAGCTCAATATCTATTTAGACTTCTATAAAGGATCTCCTTCATACTTTGTCTCTACTTAAATACCAAAACCCAACTGGAACTGAAAACCCCACCCTTCCCGACCACTTGTCCTGCATTTTAAGAAGGATCTGGGTTATGGTGCATCTTTAAGAATTATCAAGTCACTGAGGTAGTGTTACAGATTTCTGATGAATATGTCTCATGTATATGCAATATTGTTACCACCATTTCTGTCTTGCTAAGGTCCCATTGTTCTGCTACTATGTCACGGCAAAACCAAGTAGCAGAACATATGTACTTATGAACTTACTAAGTTATGAGTGATAATCTTAGTAAACACTTCAGGAACAAGTATGAGGATGCTTTTTGTTTATTTGCATTTGCAAAAACAAGTATAGGTCACCCCAAAATCTGCACTTGCAAAAAATCTGTTTCAGAGCCTCAGATTGTGTTTCATTTTTGCAATTTTAGTTTCTACTAAAACCTTTGATTTGTGTTTTCCATCATTGGTTTTGTTTGTTTAGGGTTTTTTTTTAACTGAATCCCACAGTTTTTATTTATGTATTACAGGATCTTGGGATAAAACTAAGTCTAAGTAAGTAATATTGTACTAAATAGAGCCATGGTATAACTTACTTTGTGAAGCACAGATTTAATTAAATTCCAGACCATTGTCTGGGTATCCCAAACTGTAAAATAAAATTACTTACATCATGCAGCGACATCAGAATTAAAGGTATTACTGAGTTGGCTTATGTTTATCAGTTAACCTACTGTAATGTCAGATACATTGCTTAGTTGCTATAAGCTTTTAGTATTACAGGTTTTAATTCCACTTGTCAACAGCTCTTTCTTACAGTTTTTTTTTTTTAATAACCATCTATTTTGTATTACAATGAGCTAATTTATGTCAGCTTATAAAATTTTACAAAGCATTGGCTGTAAATATATTGGTGGCATACAAGATTGGAAGAGGACTTTCACTTCTAAACAGGACAAATGTATAAATGGAACTTTATAGACTGTTTAGTTATTTATATTTTTCTATAGAACAACCTTGGAAAAAGGGAAAAAAGCCATAAACTTAAAGAGAATCTGATGGTGCCAAAGTGTTGCCAAGCAAGCTGTAAAAGATAAGTCAAACTGAAATTCTATAGAAAAGCTATGAAATACTACTACAGATGTGCCGTAGTGGTTTTGGGGTTCCTGAAGCTGCTTGTGTGCAAAGTCAGCTGTGGAAATGGCTAGCTAGCTGAGAGCTATGATTCTTGCAGCTTGACTGTTGTGGGGAGATTTTTTTCTGTGAAAACAGTTGTAAAGTGGAACATCTGAAAAACATGTTCCATGCAAAATGGATCTTCACACACATTTATTTTGACATTTAGGTTTGATTTGAGAGAGAGGGAAGATTCTGAAATAGCCATTCACAGATGGCTTGTGTGGGTTTTATTTCTTATATGGTTCTCTGTGTTTTTGGTTTGGGGCAGGTTTTTTTGCATGTGTTTGCAGACTTGTCAATCCCCTCCTTCCCCCACATCACATGCTTAATTTTTTTATTACTTGCATTTTTGTCCTTTTTTTCCACAAGCTGGTGTTTAAAAAATATAAAGAAAACTGGAAAAGAGAAAAACTCCTCATCCCAACCGCAAAACAATAAACCACTCCAAACTTTCCCCCCAGCCCCAGTCACCACCCTAAGGTATAGAGTCCTATCATTAAAAATTCTTGGTAGTGAGTAAAAATTTATGTATTTTGAGGACTTTGATAGTACAGTGGAAAATGTCTCAGGAAGCACTGAGTTCTCCTGTCTTTACCCTTTCAGCAATGAGGAGATATATGGAGTCCAGAGGGCCATGTACTCTCAATGTGGGCAGTGCTGCTGGCAAAACTTGGTGCATGTTCAGCTGGACGAGTGAAATGCAGACACTGTGTATATGGCCACCCTTCCATAAGGCTGTACTTGACCTCTGTGGCCTTTACTGTTGGAATATCCTTTCCAGGTGTGAGTCAGGAGTGAAATGTTAGAGCCTGTCTTTTTTCTTTTGAAGGTACTGAGTGAGAGTGGTTGCTGGTAAATAGTGGTTGTGAAGTATGTCTGAGAAGCAGGTCCATTTGTGTACAAGGAATAAAGCCTCTAAGCGGCGCTGGTCATCTCCTCTTTGTGAAACGTCAGTGCAAAATATCCCTGTATTCCAACTACAATTATGAAATGAATATTCAATGTATTCAGTTATTTTTCTTTAAGGAAACCAGATGTTGAGCTTGCACTCAATGCCATTGCTAATACATGTCTTGTTTGTTTTGTGTTTAATCCCAGAAGAAGTTAGCTGTATACAACAAGATGCAGGAGTCTCTGGAAGTGACCCTTCCCAGCAAGCAAGAGGAGGATGAGAAAGAACAGCCTGCCGAAATGGAGTACCTTAACTCTCGCTGCGTCCTTTTCACTTACTTCCAGGGAGACATTGGTTCAGTTGTGGATGAACACTTTTCAAGAGCTTTGAGCCAAGCCAGTAGCTTCAGTCCAGAAACTGCCCTTACCAAGAGCAAGGCAGGGCTAAGTCCTCTGTGGAGAGGTAAGAGGAGCAATAACTTACTCTCTGTGTTGTGACTTATCCAGTCTGTGTCATGGTAATGCATGTTGCATTGCAGCTGAAATTTTGCTCCCCTGTGGAGGGGAAAAATCCCCTCAAATCTGGAAGGACTCAGGAGCTTCTTGGGGTTGAGCGATCTGAAGTGTTAATAGGGAAAAGAGGCACCGAAGTCATGAAAGAAACAGGCATCTCCCTCTCTTGCCACAACCTGTGGCTCTGATGAGGCCTGGGAGGAGCAGCGCAGAGCTCACGAGGCTTCACAAATGTCTGGTGGAGGTTGGAGGCTTATTTTTAAGCTCCAAGTGTGAAAGTTGGCCTGTGAGACAAGAGCAAAGCTTGTTTGGGATGCTGGCCTTGAACGTGAGGAGACCCATGCAGCCTTTTCGGGTGACTTTGCCAGGTGATTAAGATTCATCCATGGCTGCTTTCCAGGTGTGGGGGAGCCAGCACAGGCTGGAACAGGCTCAAGTGCAAGCCCTGGCCAGCATGGCTGCAGCTGTGTGGTGTGGTGCATTGCAGCCTGCCCGTAGGTAGAGCTCATGGGAGAGACACAGCCTTTGTTACTGGCTTCCCATGTGTAAAATGGGGATGATATTACTCTGCTTCTGAGCAGGGAGCAGAAACCATGGGTAGGTACTGCAAGGCATTTGCACACTGCCATAACATTTATGTCTTATTATGCATATAAGCGAGAACAAAGTAACAAAAAGCAGATCTTGTCAGATATAGAAGGTAGACCTTATGGATAAGGTTTTAGAAGTGGTGACTGGAGAAAGTGTGCCATAAGATGCTATTTCCTTTTGTTGAATGTGGCAGTCTGGGTGCTTTTTCAGATCCACGGCTGCATTATTTCTGATCATGTCCTTATGTGGACTGGCAAAGGAACACGAACTAAATATCATGAGCTATGGCCTCACATTAGATTGAGTGAGAAAGGTACCATGAGGATCCTTGTAGGAGTGGGGGTGTTCATAATCTGCGATGTGGAGGTGAGAGTTTATTGATGGAAGTCACAGATAACAAAGAGAGACAGAATTTTTGGAAACCACTGTGAAGAGAAAAATAGCACGAAGGACTTGCTTTCCAGTAGGATGATAACAACTCTGAGGAAGTTTAAGCAAAGGTCAGCACAAGTGGCTGGGGAGCTAGAGGAATTCATGGCTTGAGCCGGGACCATTAATGTTACTAGGAAATTTTCCGCTGACTCGACTGAGAGCAGGATTGAACCTATGCTTACTAAAAAGGAGACTGAAGCATTTATAAATGGCCCAGACAGGCTATAAATGTTTTAGAGATGGGATCAAGGCAGTCCCCAGAGACACCATGCCTACAGCAAGCCCTCTTTACTGAGCTTGGAGTCATACCATGGATGGGGTTGTATGTCTTCTCTTTGGCCTCAGACAGACCCTGCTGTTTTCCCCTGGCTTGCCCTGTGGTTGCACAGCCCTCCCCAGGGGCTCTGCAGGGGACACCATGGCCTGATGTAAAGGTTCTTCAGCCATGCTGCCTCCTGACCCCGTGTGCCCCATGCCATCAGTGTGGAATAGAGGTCTGCATGTCCTGAAAGTCTTCTGAGAATAAAGTAAGGGGATATGCCTTCTGCTGTTGCTGCACCTGCTGAAGCGGTATGAAAATCCCTAGGGACGCTGCTGGGCAGGGATGCTTGGTTCTGTGCTGTGGAGGCTGAGGAAAATGGGGGTGTTTGTTTCTCCAGAGAAGAGAAGCTGACAAGAGTTTTATCAGGCCCAGATGAGTTTCTGAAACATGCCTGCTTGAAGGAAGTGGTGAAGGAATGATGCTAACAACTCGGTCTTCTGATTTGCGTCAGAGATGCTCAGTTACAGCAGATGAATGTGAATTTGTATCCCATTACCTAAAGCAGTTAAAATATCATTAACTTGAAGGTATTTTATAAATACCCTTCATGGGTACTTGGAATTTTTGTCAATAAATTACTTAAATTAAAAAGCTTTTGCATTTTCAATAGCTCTTTTGGAAGGTATAAATTTAAGTGGAATGTGGGTGGGCATGAACTGGCTACTCAGCTCACTGTACTCTTTCTCCTCTAGTTGAAAGGAGGGCTTAATAATGTTTTCTGCCTTTTTTATCTTGTGTTGTTGGGTTTGTCTTTTTTTTAGTGTCCTGATGGAAGAGCAAATTGTAATTTCCTCTTTAAGGTGATATTGTTGGGGGAATTTGTGTCAAGAAGGGATTTTGGTTTTGTTTAGAAAACAGAAACTAATGTCCTGAAAACAGACGGCAACCTGCACGTTGAAAATACTAATCAGTTTAGGCTAAAATAACTTTAAACCTGACTTATTGTAAAACTTTGGTTACACAGACATTGAATGTTCAGTTGTAGGTGTAGCTTACCTGAAATCTTTTGTGGAACTAAGGAAACTAATGATACCTTCATGGCATTTTAATCAACATGTTTTTCCTAGTGAAAGTGTTGGGGGCCTTTTTTTTTTCTTCCCCCCCCCCCCCCCATAACTGAGAAGTAATGTTAAATACAGAAAATTCCATACATTGTCTTCTTTACACCATGTGCGCTTTGGCGAGTTTTCAGTGTGTGTGGACGTTCACCATGAACATTTACACTAGTCACCACTTTGTGGTATACGAGATGTTGCCATCTTCCTGCCTTCCTGTGCTTACAATAGGAAATTGTGGTAACTGTAGCATCTTTCTTGGCAGGCAATGTTTGTTAAATTCCTCCTTTCCCTCTCCTGAAAGGCCATGGAATCTATTCAGATTGGTTCTTTTCTTTCTCAAGAACACTGCTGAAATGGCTGTTTCTCCATTGCCATGTCCCATAGAGGTCAGGTATCTGTAAAGATGATCGGATGTACTCGCTGTTTAAAGGTGGGATGGAAAGGAGACACTTCAAATGCCATGGAAATGGATAGTGGTTGTGGATTGTTCAACACAGAGATGGTTCTTGTTGATGGGATTGCTGCACACTTAATAGCATCCTCTGTAAGCATTCGGGGTGGATGAAGTTTTCTTGCATGTTTATACAACCTGGATGGATGCTGTATCTCCAGTGACGTGACTTGCCCTTGACCAGTGAAGTTGGCCCCTGCAGTTGCACTCAGTGGTGTCTCAGTAGGGGGTGGTCCATGACCGTATCTGACAGTGGTAATGACATTCTGAAATGCGCACAGGTTTGAAAAATGGAGATGACCAAACATGCTTTCTGTGGCATTAGACCTTCTGCGTGATTGGGAAAGCCAAGCTGTTATACAACCTGCAATGAATTCATGTTGGCAAATCCAGTGGTTTAAAGTGTTCTTTCCTGGTATTAAAATTGTCCTGAAGGTACTTTGTGATTTTCTGAGCTTTTGTTTTTTGAAGTGGGATGGTTTGGATTTAGGACTTTTCCATGCAGATAACAGCCAGATCATTTCCAAAAGCTCTTGATTACGCAGGTTAATTTTCCAGAATGCTGGCAATAGTCAAGCTCTGCTCCTCTGTTAAGCAGTGAGGAAAACAACAGGCTGGACATGAAGTTTGTTTTTGCCTTTTTTTTTGTAAGCCCTGCTGCCAATACTGTAAGCCATGTGCACTCTCCATCTCAGCCTAATCCCTTGTAAGAAGGAACAATGTACTAACAAGGAACAATACCAATTTCAGAGGGTTGCTGAGGCTTCTGTAATATGCTTGAAGCTCTCTCCAGCCTTCTAGCATGAATTAAAATAGAAATACATTGCTAAAAAAAAGCAGCCTTTTGAAGAAGCCCATGTTGGAGTACAGTTTGCTAGATAATCCGGCAGCCTCTGAAGAAGTTTGGCACAAAGAGAAGTTCTTTACATTTGTCCGTAGTGTGTTTGCAAAGTTTAGTTCCAATATTAGAAGTTAATCAGGCTCAGGGAACTGCCTAAATCAAAGCCGGTTGATGTTTGGAAAAATTTCTGTGATTTTAATGGATTTTAAAATAGGTAGGTGAGTATCATAGGGGTGCAGTCAGAAAACACTTGCATTTTAATTTCTGAGGTATTTTTGTGTAATCAAAGTAGAGAGGCAGGAGCATTCGAAGAAGCCGTTCATTCTCAGTGGTGTCTTCACCCAAGTCTCATTCCAGTTGCTTATTAAACAATGCAAAACAAAATGTCATTTAAAAAAAAAATCTAAATGTATTTGTAAACATTATGTGAGGACCAGAAGATTCCTCCCCATATCAAATACTAAACTTCTCTGGCTTTATTTCTCTGTAGGCTATTTTTATGACTTTTCTTTCATCTGAGGTGAAGTCCTATATTTTTATGTTTCCATCTTTGACTGAAAAAATCCCTTATTTGAGCTAAGACATATTGTATGAAGCAGTACTTTCAAACATTAGCTGGCAAGAAGATTGTGAGAATGGAAATGCTAATACTTTCTTACACATCAAAAACACTAACCGCTGCTTCAAAAGAGGAATTTTTAGGGTGTGATTTCATAACATAGAGGTATTGGAATCCATTTAAATGTAAGTTGAGCCCTAGCTGTAAGGAGCAGTTAATCTTTTATTTCTGACAAAAGCTTTCAGTTAGATGTTTCTGCAGGTCTGATCCTATACACTATGGGATAATGTGATTTGTTTTGTAAGCAAGTAATGTAAGATAGAATCATAGAATCACAGAACAGTTGGGCTGGAAAAGACCCCAAGATCATCCAGTTCCAACTGTCCCGCCATGACACCTTCCACTAGACCAGGTTGCTCAAGGCCCTGTCCAGCCTGGCCTTGAACACTGCCAGGGATGGAGATGCATTAGATATGATCTTTATCCCATCAAAGCATGCTATTAGTTTGAGAAGATCTGGTATTCTTCCTTTAGCCAGATGTCTCCTGTTCTGCAGTGTGACCTGGTTCTGTGTCCTCAGAAACATTTTCAGCCACAACAGCTGCTTTTCTAAATTATATGTTGCAGTCTGGTCAGGAGTTAGCCTGTCCTCATAATTCCTGTACCAAGATAGTGAGAGAGCTGCAACTCTTCAACCTGAAGAGTCTGAGGAAGGATCTTATCCATATGTGTAAATGCCTGACTGGGAGGGAATGAAGATGGGGGATCCAGACTCTCTTCAACAATGCTTGCTGGAGGGACAAGAGGCAATAGGCACAAATTAGAAAACAGGAAACTCCATTGAACACAATTTTTGTTACTTGTTGAGGGTGGCTAAGCTGCAGAACAGTTTGCCTAGAGAGGTTGCGGAGTTTGCATCTCAGTCCTGGACAATCTGCTCCATGTCACCCCATGTGAGTAAGGAGGCTGGACGAGATGATCTCAAGAGGTCCTCTCATACCTGTGATTTTGTAGTTGCTGAGGAACCTTGAGTTGAATGTTACAAATTTCAGAGAGTAGAAAATCATTGTGGGTCTTTTATCATTAAATTTGCTGTTCAGCTTCAGCCATACTTCATTTCTCTCCTGTCTTCCAGAAAGCTCAACAATTTCAAGCCAAAGGAGCAGTTTCCCAACTTCATTTTGGACCAGCTCTTATCAGCCTCCACCTCCACCATGCTTAAGTGGAGTACAACACGATTTCCCTGTTACTGCACCAGGCACCTTCCCAGCACCAGATCCCAGCAGCTGGCCAGGACATGGCCTTCATCAGACTGCCCCACCTCCTCCCCCTGCTGCCTCTGAATCCTGGCATTATCCTTTAGCATCTCAGGTGAGCCCTTCGTATGCACACATGCATGATGTGTACATGCATCGCCATCACCCTCATCCACACATGCACCATCACCATCCCAGCTCACACCGTGACCCCCGCTACGGGTCCCTGCTGATGCCTTCAGTCCGTGCAGCCAGGATTCCTGCTCCCGAGTGTGACGTGACAAAGACAGATCCAGCTGCTGTCACCAGCGCTACCTCAGCATGGGCTGGAGCCTTTCATGGAACGGTTGACATTGTGCCAAGTTTTGGGTTTGACACAGGTAAGATGGTTGATTGTGTCTGTGAGTTGTTTTAGCAGGAAAAATATGAGCAAAGGGGACTCCCTGCAGCTGAAGCTTGTCAGGCTTGTTTTCAGAGCCTTCTCCAAATATATTTCTATGTGCGAATCCCTCCTGAAATTACTGTCAAGGCAGATGAGCTGTGAAACATCCAGCCTTCACTGCCTTTTGCTGGGAGACTTTTGTCTGCCTTAGTCCCGTTCAAGCCAAATAAGTTGCAACATGATGTGCAGGGTGTTTTTGGTTTAAATCTTGTGGGAAATGGTTAATGAAACTTCCATGTGGAAGCTTCAGGGTTGTTCAGCTAGTTCATGTGTGCATTCACCAAAATGCAGCTCCAGTGAGGACTGAACTAATAACTTGTCAGTACACGAGGATTGCACCTTACTCATCTAAATTGGAATAGTTCAGCATTTCCTTCCTGTGTAGTATCCAGGAGTCACATAGAGAGTAGAGATGCTGTTTGAGCTGTGATCACCATCAACCTAAACTTCTTTCTGCAGATTCTAGGCAGAGGCCTGTGAATTAGATTTATTTTACTGTAGGATATTTAGCCACAGGGCAGCCTTCATGAACTGTATCAGCATCTGCAAGCTTTGACTGGCTTTGAGGCTCTCAGCATTAGGAGCAGTCTAGCAGCCCTCACTGTTCATAGGTGCTTGGGTGGCTAGCAGTTTCCAGTGCATCCATCCTGGAGCTCATGGGCACTACTGAGGACTCTTTTTAATGCTTGGTATTTTTCTCACTGGCAGCAATCCTTGCAGATTACTACTTCTTAAACACTTTATATTATATATTAAGGAAATACTAGGTTTTCACCTCTGTTTCCTTTTCCTTTAAGCATCAGTTTGTCTCTCTTCTTGATAGTTTTAGCTAACTGATTCAATGTGTGAGAAGTACTTCCTTGCTTTGATTAGTGTGCAGCAGAGAGAAGAATTGGTAGAAAATTAAAAAAAAGTTGTTTCTTAAATATGAAGTACTGTGAACCTAATACAAACCTCTCTCTCTCTCTTCCGTTAATAGCAACTAGGGACCAATAATTTCTTCTAAATACCATGACACTTGCTGCCTTAACACTAGACAATTTCATGTATATTAATAACATTTCCAGCCATGCTGATGATACAAAAGGAATTACATTTTAAGCTTTTGGGTATAAAATGATAATCTGACAAAACTGGGATCTCAAGTTTTGTCCCTCTGACAAACTCCATAATGGGAATAAACTGCCTTCTCTGAAACACAAGCAAATTGTCACTCTCATCAGTAAAGAGCACGAGCCTCCTCATCTGGCAGTAGCCCCAGAAGTCCAGTTCCAGAGCTCTGGTATTTGGCTTACCTTTTGCAGATGGAGCTGAGAATTGTGTAAGGGATTGTTCGGAAAAAACACTCCCTGCCTTAGGTATAAATCCCAACTAGACTGAATTGTTTCAGTGCCAGGCAAGCTGGTTTGCTTACTGCTACTTTGTTGGTAGTAGTATGTCTAATAAAGCAGGTGCTTTTTCTCTTTTTCTGTAAGAGCACAGTACCTCAAAAAGGACTGTGGGTTATAGCACCATATTAGCCTTTCAGGGCTAACATAGCTTTTTCTTTGTGCTGCTTGCTCCTTCTGAAGATTCCTATGAAGGACTACAGTTGGATGCTAATTTTTGTCAGGATCCTGACTTGGCAGTGCTTAACAGTGGCTTATATGTCTTGTAGCTGTCGACTCACGACGGGAAGCAGTTGACAAGGCCTGCTCAGTTAATTTCTGTCCCATGCTTGCTGTGTGTGTTTTGCTCCATGAGTTTCTGGGGAGGGAAAGAAAGAGGGTAAATGTGTGACTGGTTTGCAGAAACAAAGGGTCTCAGCAGACCAATGTCTCACATGTTTGTGAGTGTTCAAAATGGCCATACATTGAAACGCAACAGCAAAACCTTACCAGGCAGCACCAGTTTGACATATGAGGCTTTGGAAATATGGGAGCAGACAGTGAAACACAGCAGGTAGCAGCAGCCTGTGACATACAGTTATTTGTTTTCTTACCCTGCGCACTCATGTCTCCTGTGCTCTCCAAGCAGAGGCGTGCTGGGAGGGCCAGGAAGGCCCTGAGCTCCCTTTTCAACCTTCTCTATAGCTGAAACAAATACTTTGGTTACAGGCATTCAAGGCATGATCATGCTGAAAAGAGGGAGCTCAATTGCCCCCATGTTTTGCATACATTCTAATAGTGTCATCCCAAGGAAGGTGATTTGTGCTACTGGGGAGAGGAGGGAGCTGCTGAAGCACCACACTGGGTTGCATCCAGCACTCACCAGCACACGTTAAGCATTTTTTGTTCCGTATCCACTCCAGGGTAGTAAGATTATACTAGATAGTCCTACTAGGTAATAGTAGGATAATCCTTTTATCTATTATAAAAGATATAATCACATAGAATCTCATATACATCTAACTTTAATGAGACAGCAATCTCAACAGAGTCTAAAAACTCAAGAGCCTGGAAGAGTGTACTGGCTTTTTCTGCAGCATAAAACTGGTTTCTCCAGAGTAGGGTAAGGCTATAGTGGCAAGAAGACTTCAATTCTAGAAGTCTTTGCTCATATGTCCCGGGAGAATAAAAGATAACAACCTGTGGGGCTGTCAGTATATTCTATTCCATGAGTTTCAGATGATTTAGATAAAAAAGCTCATTTGACAGTGCTTTTCAGAGCCCTTAAAATATGAAAATTATCCCCCCACCTTACTGTATGTCACATTTCTTGTGCTACTGTCACATGCAATTACAGAAACATTTGCAAAATTCCTCACGCTGAATTAACTTGAGTGATAGTATTGGGATCAGGACGGGCTGACTGTAATCCTACCCTCTTCCAGCTACATTGTGGCATCTCTGCTGTACTAAGTCACTTACCTGATCTCATGAATGGATGATGCTGAATCACTTCAAAGGTTAGAAGGGAGTTCCCCTTGCATGCATGGGATAGTTTGGGAATTTATGTTTCAGAACAGGTTGTGTGGGACATCAGCATATCACTATTCAGAGAGCTAACAAAGTATTGATCTGTGATGCACATCTGTTTGAACTTATATGGTTCTGTTTTAGAGGATGAAGAAGGATTTAGCTAACTGATTCCCATTAAATGTGGCTTAATCCTCACATTTTGTGCTGCAAATTAACCCTTTTAGAAGCTTCTTTATTGGTATAAGTGGGATTAAAGAAAATGCTAGTTTACATCAAAATCTATTAAAACCTGTTACATTAATAGCTGCTGGTATGCAGTGTCTGCAAAGCTGAAGTTCCCGGGCTATAATGCTCAATATGAAAGTATGGGTTTTTATCAAGTACTGATATAAACACATTGATATAAGCACAGCATGTTTGTGCTTTAGGGCACAATTCCCTGCCCTGCTGATGTCAAGCAAAGCAAGGTCAGCCTCTAACAACACTGACTGCAGCTCAGGGCATGCATACTGAGAGCATTGCTTCAGCCGTAATCCCACAGCCTTGAGTCCTAATCCTCATGTTTACATTAAGGGTACACATGTCGAGTTGAGAACTTAATACCAGGAGGTGGGGAGGGGAAATGCTGTTTTGCAGTGGAACTGATCCTTATGGCCCCAGGAGCAGGGTGGGAGGATGCCCAGCACACCAGGCACTTCAGGTAATCAGTCGAATCCTGGCTGTCAGCCCCATGGGGAGGACAGCAGAGCAGCTCACCCTGCTCTTGCAGAGTTTAGGAGGATATCCTGTCCTGCTGTTGGGCAGGTGGGCTGGAGGAGGCTTCCTGTAGCCCCAGCACACTGAAAGCAGAGCAAGATTTGAGCATATCTGAGGCTTATAAGTCTGTCTTAAAACTGAAGTGCACATCCGCTATTGTGTGGAGTTACGCACATTGAGGTGCATAACTTTAAATTTAGATGAATTAATCAACATCCTCTAGTCCTGGCTAATTATGGAACGTCCACTTTTGGAAAAGCCTGTACATCAGTAGAGTGAATAGGGAATTTGAGTGGTCAGTTTGCTGCCTTCTGTAGAGTTGTTTCTGTTCACCCAGTAGTTTGTTACTACTCATTAAATTTGTTTGGATGTTCCCACAAAACATGCATTCTGCTTGTGTGGCAATTAGCTATAATGTTGGTATCCCAGAGGTGGGGAGTTTTACTGGTGTGGCAGTACTGACTCATGCAATGCAGACAAGGATGTTCTTGCTAAGAGGCAAATGTTCCTGCAGCAGGCTGCGAGTTGAAAGCTCTCAGTTAGGAGCAGAGTTGTGCTTGGAGGACGTTAGGACTGCACATAGCCTTTCCATGAAGGAGATGAGAATATGAAGAGGAAAAGGCATGGAAAGTGTTCCACATTCAGTTCTGTAACTAAGGCAACTTCAGGGTTTTCAAATGTTTTCTCTGGCTGTTTAGACTTTATAGCTATACATTAAACCTCATCGTTACAGTTATTTCTGCTTGTTCCAAGGACACCTGACTAGGGAGGTGTCTGTTCAACTGGTTGTTTCCCTTCTACTGTCAGGCGGACATCCTCTTAAACAGGGGTGTGTGTCTCCTTTTCTTTTTAAGCTGCTAGGAGCCATATAACCTGCTTCTTATCTCATAGGTTTCCACTGGTTCTGGTGGCCTTTAGTGTTCAATGGTGAACTGATGGTGAATTTAAATGACTTCTTTACACACAGGAAAGTTTCTGCTGACTTTTTTTACTTTGTCATCTTTGTTTAAAAAAATTGTAAACACCAGGGGAAAACTAACAGAAAATTGTCATCACTACCTTTGAGGGAGCTTTGAAGGAAATTAACAGCAGTTTATGATAGCTCTGCCTGCAAGTGATGCTGCCAGGGAAAAAAAGCAACTCTGAAGCAACAAGGAGACAGCACCAATGAGTAGAGAGCCTCTGGACATGCTTTTATAGGCATACTTTGGTTGAAGGATATGCCAGTTTTTCCAATCTAAAGAAATAGGTGCAAGTGCATGTGAAATGGAGCAGGAGGCCACAGAACAGGGTTTCGCACGTGCACGCTTTTTATCTGTTCACTGCTGAACACACAAGTGTCCACTTAGGGCGCTGCTTAGGAATTGTACTATGAATAATGCCATATGTTGTCATCTTTCATGTGACTATTAATTGCTTTGTAGCTCAACTCTGAAATGATGCTGATCATCATTAAATATTTAACTGCTTGTAGCATTGCTGTCTGTGTAGCAATGAAGTGCACCTTTATTTCACAAAATGTGATTTACTTGGCTTAGAAACATCAAGGGGCAGGTATTAAATCATGCCTAAGTGCCTTACTACCTCTGAAAATATGTGCCTGCACCTCTTTTCTTTTTACTTTCCCTATAAATGAGCAAGAATGTATCTTCTTTGGGAAGTTTCCTCTGCACCTCCCCCTCTATTGTCTGGATTTTAGGTATACACCCCATTGGGTGTAAATCTAGCAAAGATTGAATCCCTCTGCAGCAGAGAAATCCCAGATTATAACACAGGTTCCAAGCCTATAATGCTAAAGCCACAATATAGCACCACATTTATTAGATAGTCCTCACATTTTATAAAGGAAAATATTGGAGGCACTCATAATAAATGCAAGCTGAGAATCATTAATTTTTCCCATGTGGCAGTACTAGCTGTTCTTGGCTAAAAATCTGACACTCTGTAGGTGAAGTTATTTGGGTTTTTTTGCATGCTGGGGAACATTTTCCCTCTCTCATCTGTAAGGTGAAATGCCACAAAAACTGTGAGATTCCAGTGTCAGAGGCCTTTCCTAAAAGGTAGGGTATTTGGCTAGCCTCTATCAGGAAAAATGCCGTGCTCCAAATGAGGTCAAATCAAGGAAGCACACACATTATATCAGGGTCGTGAACCACTTGAGCCAGTCTAAAAATGAAGTATGGTTAAAGTTTATCCCACATACACTAAAAACCCATGAGCAAAAGCACTATTACTAACAACTCCAATAGGCTGGTAGGTTGTGGGGCACTTTTCCTTTTTAAATCCAGATCTGTTCATCCTTACTTCAGTTGCTTGGGGAGGGGAAGGAAAAAAGCTGTATCAAATTTAATTTCATTCTTTTCTTTTCTGAAATGTAGGTCTACAGCATCAGGACAAGAACAAGGAAACTTCTTGGTTCTGAAGTTCAGATGAATTAAGACCAGCTAGAGCTGGAGTCAGCGCAGCTGGGCGGGTGATATAACAGTTGTTGACTCCTCCATGGGGCAAAGGACACACATGAAGATGAAGAGCCAACCGTTCTGGTTTTGCTATTGAGCCTTTTGTTTGTAAGGCCATTTATGGGTCCCACAGTGTTGGAAAAAAACAAAACCCTAACTTTTCTTTCTTTCCTCATCTGAGCCTGCTGCAGCTGGGCAACCTAACTCCTTTCTGCTCCTTTAACAGTGTTTTGTTTCGTTCAGCTCGATATTTTTATGAACAGTCTCAGTTGTCAGGAAAGAGACTCTCCGTTGTCTACAGTGCGCCTCTTTTCAGGAATACAGTATTTTGTAGCTGTTTGTGCATCTATTTTTGTAGAAATACAGAAAGTTTGGGTAAGGATCGATGGGCTATTTTAGGATGACATATTTTTTTAAAAAAAATTGTAAAATTGTTAAGTTCTGTTTAAAGAACTTGCTCTCAGAGAAGCACTGGCAAAAAAAATGTATAAAATGCTATTTTTAGATGTCTGTGATGTGTTTGTGCATTTTGGGTTTTTTTGTTTGTTACCTCAAATGTCTGTCTATCCTTTCTTTTTAAAGGCCTAAACCTTCTTTCCACATTTCTAGATTTTGATGTTTTTGTCCTATTGTTCTAGCTTAAGCAAATATAAGTCGCACCTAAAGTTTCAGCCAAATATTTTTCCTGGAGTTAGATTATAGTAAGGGTGTTTTTATTCTCTTGCTTCTAGAGGTGGCTTTGTGCTGTGCTGATTGTCAGAAACTTGCAAACACCTTTAGCATGGGGCAAAGCTTGGGGTTATAGGCACTGTATTTCCAACCCATCCATTCTTTCAAAATGGACCAAATACTGTTACGGATTTAAATCAGAATTGAGTTTGGGCCTCATCTATGGTCCATTGAAGCTGTTCCATTGAACACAGTAGCCTGTGGGTTATGTTTCAAGCCCTCATAGTGCTCATGAATATCAGTGTACTCATATTTTAGCTCAAGAGGTAGGACTTTCAGCTAAGCCATTTCAAGGGTGGTAACTTCTAACGTCAATATTCAGGAAAGAAATGTCAGTTTTAAAAAGCATGTGACTTGTGGAAACAGAATGTTTCCAACTGGCCTCATCTGTCTGCTGAGCACCTCAAGGGAAGCACTGAAACTTTCAACTCCTGTTGACATCAAAAACTGTTTGTCTAACCTAAGACTTGCTGTGAGCCTTATGAGACCCCAGCTGCAGCTCTTGAATTTTTTGAGAACTTGCATGTTTTCAGCATGCACAAATTCAGGCTTGTCTGCTGTCTGTACTTGGAAATTACATGGCCATGTCTAACTACAGTGCTCTGCAAGGTGTTTTGGAAACCCCGTTTCTGGCCTGGGCCTTGGGTTTCACTTGCATAAGTAAGGTCTTCAGTTGAAGCCACGGTGAGCATGATCCAGCCCTGAATAAGAGCTACAAGATTAGCCTTGACAGCCCCAGACCCGCGGTGTGCTGGAGGTGGCTCAGCCTCCATCCCCAGTCCTTAGCGACTCCTGCGCGTGCCAGCACGCGCTTAGGTGGGACCAAGAGCAGGACTGGGGCCTGGATTGCCAGATCCTAGCTACTGCTTGGAGATGTTGCCTTTGTGCTCCGTATACCCAGGGTACTCCTGTAATATCTCCTAAGGCTCTTATAAACTATTATATTTCTGTTACCACTGTTTTCAGACATCCTTGTCAGAAAGACAAACCAGTTAAATGGAAACCAAGACATAAGCACATGACTGAGATAAGAGTTTTAATTTTCAGGCAGCAAGCTTTGTAAATGTAGGTTTGTCAGGTGGAGACCACATGGATCTGTGTGTGAAAGGGGAGAGGAAGTGTTGGGATGTGTATGCCACTCCAAGATTCAGGCCTCCTTCCCTGCACTGCTGCTTCCCTCCAAGCTTTTTGAACTTGATCCTGTGAGGTGTTGAGTGTTCCACCTTGCCACGTAAGAGGGCTTGACATGCTGGCACTGGAGGCTTTAGGATTATGTCACAATTTGGCAAGACCCTGAAGTATGTACCTTGCTGATTTGATGGTTGAGACAGTGTATAAGTGCTGACTGGACTATACTTAAATATTACTTTAAAATAGTAGGGATGTAGTTTCTGTTAGATGCTGTATTAATTGTGTTGGGTTTGGGTGTTTTCTTTCCCTCATCTTTATAGTCCATCAGCATTTCTTTCTCTTAATAAATTTCACTCTCATGACAACTCTCTGTATAATTGTTGCTCTGGTGGAGCTAGCTCCTCAATTTGTTAACGAATTCATAATGCAATTGGAAAACTGTATGGGAGGCATCACAGTAATAGCTGCCATGGTTCACTTTTTTGTCAGGACAGTATAGTCCAGGAAATATCTCAAGAATAAGAGTTGCGACTTAGGAATTCTGACAGTATTAGAAATACTGGGAGGAAAAAATCCAATTTTTTAATTTTTTTTTTCCTTTTTTTTTTTTTTCTGGGCTTGGCAAAGCTGGAAGGCAAAGAGGCAAAGTATCCTCTTTGGACTTCAGGCCTGAAGAGTTTTGGTGGTGGTGGAAGCAAAAGGAAAGGCATAGTGTGATTGACTTCCTGAAATAAAGTCTATCAAGAGAAGTCAGCTCATTGCCTTCCTCTTTGCAAGTTCAGATGACGATGGACCTCCTCCTGTTCCCCATAGATGTCAAAGCAGAATGGGGCAGGAAAAAACAGGCCCACAGATTGCACTGGAATCCCTTTCTGGATTGTTTTATTGAGTTTATGGGTAGTGGGGATGAATATGTCGTGAAGCTATTGCCTCTTCCACCTCAAGGACTACTACTATGTGCCCAGTTTCCACTGCTGAATCTGTGAGTGTACTGAAGGAACTCCTTTTGCTCTGCAGGCTCTGAAAGACAAGTGCCAATAAAAACCTACTATTGTCTGTAGCAATTCATGCACCAGTCAGTTGAAAGTGAAATAAATTGTTTTCCTCAGTCACTAACTGTCCCCTGACAAGTGAGTTGAAAGTAAAACCATAAATGCATAGCAGTAGCCCTACTTCTATGGTCTCCAGTTTGAAGGATGGGAAAGAAAAAAGCCTTCCTTTTGACAAACTTTTAAGTTAAACGCACCGGATTTACTTCTCTCTTTCTCTCCCTCATACACGCACACTTATACACACGCACAAATGTGCTTATGAGAAGCAGATGCTATGATGGTTTTGTTCTTGAAAGAGGAGGAGAGCACGTGCTCGCAACATTGCAGTTACAGAGAATTGATGGCAGTGAAAAAGAAACAATAATGTTAAGACTGCTCATGTTTCCATGATAGGAAAAAAGGCCCTTAAAATCAGGTCACAGATATAAGTTATGTATCTTAATGTATTACTAAAGGACTTGTTTCATTCTTTTAATGTGAATTCTGATGCTGTTCTAAGAAAGTGGATGATTCATTTTGCAAAGGCTTATAAAATATGATGTACTCTGTCACAATTTCTGGGAGAACATAGGGAAATTATTGTTTTGTTTCAAGAAAATTTACATGCTAAACTCCTAAAAGTTGTCCAGGATTTTATTTTATTCCTATTAATGTTGAGGAAACTGCTGTCAGTTTTTGTGTCTTCATTCGAAGACTTGGGAGGATTCAAGCTGTCCATGTTCTGAAAAGCAGATACCAGTTTGTTTCAGATGGGCATTTCCATCCCAACAAGATGAGGGAATAGTGCAGCTACTGACTGCCCTTATTTGCTTTCTAGAGAGCTGAATAATCTATGTTTGGCTATTGCAAAATGCACTTTGTTCTGATCCCTGTCCTCACCAGACGCACAAATTCAGTTATCGGTTTATCTGATACCTTTTTTGTAGTGTGAAGACCTTCAGTGAATGGCTGTTTTCTCTCAGCTGTCTACTTCTGCCTCAAAACATGCTTTTGAGGATGACTCTTTCACCGCAGCTTTCAGAGAGAGCAGAGGTTCTGGGAGGGTGGTGTTGCGTTCCCCCCTACCTGCACTTAGGATGGACTTGACTGCACCCAGCCTTTCTGCTTCTGCGCTACTGTGTTTGTCTTGCTCTCCTCCTGCCACAATTCCTTATGCGTATGTATGTATATTTATATATATATATACACACATACAGCTATGCCCGGCTCCCTCTTCCACCCTCATGCTTCAAATGCATGTCCTTTGGAAATGACATCACTAAATCTCATCTGAGACTGAGAAAATGAAGGCGTTTTGTTACGTTATCTGTTAACTCAGGAGTGAATGGAATTTTGCCATACTTGTAAAAACCAAAACCAAATAACAACAAAACCCAATAAAAAAAGACCCCTTTCAAAACCTCTGATTTGTTGTGTCTATAAAGATGACCATGGAGTCAGCAGAGTTATGTAGAGAGATGCAATATATTGCCTTTCAAGAGACAAGCTATCTTTTTTAATATGAATCTTTCAGGTACAAGCTTTTTCTCCATATCAATGGACCAGCAACATATATTTCTTATAAATTATTTAGAAATGTAGGTACTTTTTCAAATTCACTTCTTGGCTTTGCTCTGTCAGCCTTTGAGCTTTTAAAGGGTATTTGGATGATAAATACTGTTTGTGTGTGGATTTTTAGAAATGCTGATGCATGTTGTTTTTAACTGAAATCTCATGTAAAGCAGGAAGATATTTAAAAATAAATACTGTTTTTACCTATTAGCCCTGTGGGCACAATCTGACAGTAGTGATGCAGGAAGATGTCCCCTTAAAGACTAAGGGACTTTTGCCTGAGCAACGTCAAAATTTAATCCCTGTGACAGGAGAGGTGGGAGCAGTCTTCTTGCAAAGTCTGAGCAGAGATGATCCTCTCCAGCATTGTATGTAGATGGTTGGGCAGCCACTGCAAAACATACTAAAATTAGACTGTGTTGGCAGGTTTGTACTTATGGGATGAACTGGTTACTGAGGGGAATTAGAGATGTCCCTTGAAACCTGTGTTTTAGCTGTCCTTGATCTGCGCAATGTGCATGACCCTCTCCCTGTGCATGCTCTGCAGTTTCCATGATTCTACAGTGGGACCTGTGAAAGCTGGGCTGGAGTTCCCTATGAAATGCGGGATTTTTTTTAGCTCCCAATAAAGACAGTTTAGGGATGGGAGTAATTAAAACATCACAGTTATTTCATGCACCTGCTCAAAGGCTCAAGCTTTCAGGATGTATCAGCTGCGCATTACTGATGATAACCATTTACATTCACATATGGGAGCCCAAATGCTGCTTCCTTCCCTTAGTGTCTTTGGAAATCTTTGATGACATTGGGATCATTGGGACCAGACTCAAACACCTAAACTGCAGCCCAGTGTTGGCTGGCACAGTGTGGTGGCTTGAGGTTTGGTTCAACATTGGTGGACATCAGTTGGAATCAGTGTTGATTCCAATGAGCTTAGGCTCAGGTAACTAGTACCTATAGACAGCTAATATTTATAGCAGTTGAGGTTTACAGTAATCTAGTAAAGTATCCACAGAACTATGCTGCACTTTCCCTGCTAGCTGTTTGTAGCTGTTGTTTAAAACCATCAGTCAAATCAGGGTCCTTCTCCTCCCCCATACCTGTTCTCCAACCCTGCTTCCCTCAAAACTCCATTGAACTCATTTGTCCCTCTCATCAAAACTGATGAGGGGGCTTTGTATAAAAAAAAGTCACTGTTTTAATTGCTGAATAAATAATTTAATGTGAATTTTATTGTTATATTTTTATGTAGCATTTTTGGTTTGGTCTGTATTTCTGAAAAATTAGCTAATGCTTTCTTTTATTATGCAACTGAAGAACTTATAAATCTCTTTGTAAATTACAACATGCTGAGTTTCTGGACTTTTTTGGTTTTTTTTTTCATGAGATTAATTTTTAAAGCCAAAGGTTTGTCTTCTGTTGAAAATGTTGTAAAACAAGTGTTCTGAACTGGTTCTGTACTAAAATTGGATGGAGTGAAAGCCAAGTATCAAAGGAATTTCAAAAAGGGCTCTTATGAAGGCAGTAGCTTTCCATTTCAGATACTGTCAATTGCTTCCACTACAATGTCTCTTCTTCTTTTTAATAATTGAATAATTAACAGGAAAGCCTATTTTACAGTCAGACTTAGTAGAATCACAACCTGACACTTCTTAATGTAAAGCCCTTTTTTTATCGTTTTCTGGCAGTTTTTACAGTCATCAAGTAGAGACTTTACATGGCTGACTTGGTTTTTTGCAAAGTTCAGTGATTCCCTCTAAGGAGGCAACTTTGCCTCTGCTAAAATTACTTTACAACTGTTTAATTAAGAAAAGTTTGCATGCCAGTGTTCTGGCTTGAGGGCTGAAGGTTTGGTGTTTTGGTCACAGATCATCATTTAATGTTCCAACAGAGGGGAAAAATAAACCTCCAAACTTTGGCCAAGATCTCAGCTTTTGAAAAATTGCCACTTGCACGCAATCAGCAGGGAGCTGTTAAGAGTTTAGTTGCAAAATCCTCTGAAGATCCTGACCATATGGGATGTACTCTGTTTCACAGCATCAGGGGATGAGCAGGATTTTCCCCATACATCCTGCTCCAGGCCCTGACAGCAAACAGGGCGCTTTTTTTCTGTGCAAAAAACCCTGTGTTCTTCATCAGACTGTGAGGAAGAGATGAAGATAGTTGCAAGCCAGAAACTCAAGGACAGGAACCTAGGAAAGGGAGAGACTGGGTTCAAAAGCTTTCTTTAGTAAAGGATGGGGTTGGGAGCCAGAGGGAAAGAGTCTCCATGGGCAATGGGGATGAAGATGGGGTGCAGACCGCTGAAGAATAAGCAAATAATGCTTAATGATTGCTTGGCTAATACATGAAAGATGTAGAGTGGGGTATGACAGCCATCAAAAATTACCAGTATAATGTGAAGACATAGAAATTTCATATAAACTAAGTGTCAACTTAGGATAAACATTGCAGGAACTTACTTTCTTTGAAGTGAGCTGTGTACACTGCAGTTTAGTCTTTGAGAAAAGATGGGGGAGCACTGTTGCTTTAAGGCAATTGCAATTATCCACACTGAAGCAAACGTACTTTAGGAAGAAGCTAGGGGATGAACTAGCTGTAGTGCTTTTTCTTCTCCCCGTAACTTCTATTGCTCTCACCAGAGCAGGGCTCCAGCCACATTGCCCCGCACCTGGGTTTGCCAAGGGCTCATGGGGGTTATTTCTACATGCTCTCATTGCATCAAGAAATGAGACCAGGGGAAGTGATGCTCAAGAGCAAGCATTATTTTGTGACTGATTCTATTCGTCACGATCAACACCCTCCATTAATGTAAATCAGTGTCACTCAGTTGGCTTTAGTGACCTTCACACTTACGAAGAAGCTCTGGTTACATCTGGATAAAATTCATTTTGGGTGTTATCAGCTGGAAATTGAGTCCCTGTCTGGTGCCTGGGAGAGCTTCCTTAGGAGCCAGGATCCACCCAGGTGACCTTAGTGGTGCTCAGCCTGCCTGCTGCAGGAGAAAAGCCATGGAAGATGTGAGGAGTGGGGCTGGCATCCTCTGTGCGGGTGGAGGAGGCAAGCGTGGACGGGGACCAGCTACTGGGGCTGGGGCTGGCTGGCCCTGGTGGGACAAGGGGTTCCATCAGCCCTTCATGGACATCTCAGGCATGGTGGGGTCAGTCGTCCTGGCAGGACCTTGGACTCTGAGGGGTTATGCTGCCTGCGTGACGTGGGAGGCCGGGTGGGGACCAAGACATCTGGTGAGAATTCCTCACAGCTGAGCTGTGCGTTGGGCTGGGATGCCGATTCATTGAGCTGATTTCTTTTTTGGGGTTGTTGGGAGGAGGAGGGGGGCTGGATGCCGCAGCCTTCCAGTAATCGTCTCTCCTCCAGAATATCACTTTTGATTTCTTTGAAGGCAAGCGAGAAATTATATTTAAAAAAATCCCAAAACAAAAAAACAGCACCAGGAACTACACCAATGCCTTTGCCTTGACAGTAACTGTACATCTGCAACGGTTTATCACTATAGGAAAATGAGCGGGTAATAAAAGTTTTGATGTTGGCCTTTGCATGTAGAGAGGTATCACAGACTTTGAAAATGATTTGTTATGTGAATGCCCATAGTAGCACCAAGGTTCAAAGGGAGGTGGTTTGTTTTTCATGCCCGTTTAGTTATGAATAACACCAGCTCTAATTTCCTCCTCCCACCAGCAAGCAGACAGTCCTACATTGGAAGCCAAATATAGCAACAAAGATTTCTATCTCTGGCCAAAACCAAAAAATCTGTTCCCTTTTAAGAATAACACTCCATTCTTTTCTGATGGACTTGGATAAGGAGAAAATTCAACTTTAAGGAAGTCAGTTTCTCAGTGGGAAACTCTCTAGACTCCCTTGAATGCCCAGTGTAAAAGTTATGAACTTATGTTTTGGCATCTGTGTAGAAGCCAATGGGGAGGCTTCTGTTGAACCCCATCAGTAAAGCACTTTGGGGTGGCAGTCTGGATAAATCTTCCCTACTTGCTGGTGTGTTTTTTCTGCCCTGCTTTGTCTTTTGAGCAATAGAGCCAATGCCAAATGGGAACTCCATGAGTTGCACAACTACCCCTGGTTTTCTTCACCCTTTTCTTTCTGGTTCACTTTTGTGGAGAAGTCTCTTCCTTGGTTCTGAGGGACAGACCCCTGCTCCACCTGACAGGTAAGCTGAACAAAGCAACATGGAGCAGCAGCATCACCCCATGCTCTCTACCTGCTTGCGGTTCTCATCAGGGGAGTACACGGGAAGCCAGCCCTATGGTCTTTCCCATGGCCAGGCCATTGTGCCTGTGACAGGTGATCACAAACAGTGGGGCTACCCAGTTTCCTGCCTGGCTGGATGAGAAGGGAAGTCTTTCTTACAAAGAAATGTTCGTGGTGAAATGCTTCCTTAGGTTATCATTTGACATTTGCTGGATGGGAGTCAATGCTTCTTGAAGATGAGCACATACATGAGTGTCACTATCTGCTTTTAAGCTAGAATATGCTTTTAGGAGGAGGCACACTCCCTTTGTGATCTTGAGCAGTTTCTTCAGCTTCTCTACACCATCTGAAGAAGGCTATTCAGCCTTTCCTTCGAAGGATTTATTCCCATTCCAGCCCACCCCCACCACCCACCCATAAGCAACTGGCATCTGTGACATGTGAGCAAAAAAAATCCCTTTCTTTAATGTACCAGCTGTCCCTGTTTTAGAAGTGTTGCCTCATTCATTTTTAGACTGTTTGGCTGAAGGCCTTTGCTGTAAGGTGAATGCTTCAGGATTACAGTTAGCTCTTCCTCCTTTGGAAATCTGGGCATTTTTTTGTTAAATAGAAGCAGCCTTGGACCCAGATGCATTTTAAAACCAATGCAGGGAAGTGTCACCCAGTGAACATATTTGCACTGGGATCTGTTCTGCCAGACATGTTACTGATGGAGATTTAAATAAACACAGCGATGTTTGGAAATATTTTGTGTATGTAAATATGTAAAATATGTAAAACAAATCTAACAGCTGTGGGGTATACTCATTGCTCACGTGAAGAGGCTTTGTGTAATGCTTTTTCCATCACCCTCTCTTTTTTTAAGCATCTGTGTCTGTTCCAAGATAATCACTTCTCTGTGATTCCCGCTGGACAAAGAGGGAGGAGGCTGGATGGGTCTATGTGATGCCCTAAAGTCTGCCTGAAGTTCTGTGGAGAACCTCCTACTGTATGGTGAAACCTGCTTTCCAGGAGCACACAGAAATCACTTCTCATCAGAAGTGGGACTGTGCCTGGGTCCAGTTGAAGTTGGCCTGTCCAGAATGGTAATGCAAGGCACAACACGTAGCACACAGCATTCTCAGCCGTCCTCGGGTGCTTTGTAACTAGACTGACAAAGGCATTAATCACTGGTGCATGAGTCTTAATTTCCTGAATTGAATCCATTGCTTAGGAAAGGTCCTTTATTTAACCAGGGAGAGCTGAAGTCTACATATGCATGTGATCCTACTGAAGTCTTTGAGGGTACTGCAGTAAGAAGAAAAGTAATCCAAACTCAGTCCATAGCAATAGTAGATGCTTCAAATTATTGTTTGGTTTTTTTTTTAAGTTAAGCAGTATGCTACTTTTTAGACAACCTTTCAGAGAGGGTAATTCACCCTCTTTGCACGATCAGTCTCTTCACCACTTCTGAATCCTACAGGATGTTTTCCATGACTTAGCCACCTGTTACTTTTAATGATGTTTTCCACCCTTATGCTTTCTCTTGTTTACTAGTTCCACTACTTTAAGGGCAGCCTTCCAAACTCCTGGCAATGCAGATGTCCAGGGACCTGGCACAGCCACTCTGTGTCACACAGTTTTTGCATCCATGGCAACTTTGACCTATCCATAAGTGTGACCTTAGACTCATGGATGTCACAAGGTGCAAAACAAATGCAAGCTCCATTTCTTTGTGTGGTGGTTTCAGTCCCAGCAAATGGAAGTGCTTGGCAGGAACAGCCCTAGGTAAAGGGCAAAGTAGAAGTGGATCATCCTTCAGCAGGATCCCAGGAGACATTGTGGGTTTATGTTTATGCCATCGAGGGAAATAGCTTAAGTGCATCCTATAGAGATTTGCTGCTGCTTATTCTCCTTGCTCCCAGTTAGTCTGGCCAGCCTTTTTGCCTTGCTGTCAATGACAGTTTTTATGAACAGACTTGAGGGGATCTTTGTGACATCTAATGCTGTTAAGAACCACATCCTCACCTTACCTATGTACTAATGCAGAAACCCAACACCATGGGGATAGGAGGCTTTAGCATTTTACAATGACTCTTCATTTACAGAGTTCCAGCTTCCTTAACTTGTTTCCTCAGCTCT